GGAGAGACTTTCAAATTCAGATCTTTTTGACTTAATTTCTCTTTGCAGGGAGGCTGGGGACTCGTTGAACGACTGCACCATTACATTAGTGGATGAAATTTATAAGATTGAAGAACCAGGCAGTGTTTGTCCACTCAGTGCCTGTCCACTAAAACGTGAGTGTTGAGGTTCTTGCATGTCTCAGACCTGCCTTGTGAAATTCTGCTCATTGTCTTTGTGAGGATCAAAGGTTTAAGAGTTCCAAGACACTTGTGGTTGTCACTCCTTTGACCATTTCCAGTGTATCTTGGCACTTTCTGGAGTACCTTGTGGTTTCTTTTTGCTAACAGGGCAAAGTGGACCTGTGTGTAAAGCTTGCAAGGACAACCCAAACAAGAAGTGCCGAGTTTGTGCTTGCCACATCTGTGGAGGAAAACAGGATCCAGACAAACAGCTCATGTGTGATGAGTGTGACATGGCTTTCCACATCTACTGCCTCAACCCTCCCCTCAGCAGTATACCAGATGATGAGGACTGGTAAGTTTTAAGTGTGTGTGTGTAATTCCCATCTACTTAGGAGCAGAAAGTGAGGTCTGGACTTCAGTTCTAAGTGTGTGTGTGTGTGTGTGTGTAATTCCCATCTACTTAGGAGCAGAAAGTGAGGTCTGGACTTCAGGCTGCCCTTAGGTGGCAATATTGTGACTGTAGGGAGGTGAAGAGGAGGTCTGTGTGTGTGTGTGTGTGTGTGTGTGTGTGTATTGGTTTGGGTTTTTTTGATAGGACTTCATAACTTTTCTTGAGCATCAGCTTAGTGAGAGGATGTCTTAAGCCCATGTCTTTCAAACCCATTTTCCTGCTTTTGGGATTTATGTGCTTATTTGGGAAGAAGTAGAACTACTTATAAACCAAAAGCAAATCTGATGCCAGGAGACTTAACTTGTGTCCTGATTTATGTGTCACTTACAGGTCGTCCCCAGGCCTCATCACCCCGTCGGGCTGGTGGCATAGACTGGTTTCTATATTAAATATATGGGGATAGAAGTATTTCACTATCTATATACATATAGAAAGAGGAACATGGTGGTACCTGTGTCCTGTCTCAGCAGTTCACACAGTGATTTTGTGATACAACTGACTTCCTGGCACATCTGCAGTGGCTTAGACTGTGTGAAGGCACGAGCTAACACTGGTCTAATTCCAGGATGGAGAGTTGTTCCAGAGCACTGTCTGCTTTCACCTGGGGATACTGTAACCTAACTCACTGTGTTTTGAGGAAATTTTTTAATGCAAGACTTTTCTACTAGTTAATTCTCCTTGACTGGTGACTTTAGGTATTGCCCTGAGTGTCGAAATGATGCGAGCGAGGTGGTTTTAGCAGGAGAGAAATTAAAAGAAAGTAAAAAGAAACAAAAGATGGCATCTGCTAATTCATCCTCACGGAGAGACTGGGGCAAGGTCAGTTCAAAAGCTGTCTTATTTTGAAGAGCAGTGTGTGTTACCTCCTTGCAGTTCTTGGCTGATTGGCCTTGCTCTTTGGAACAGGGCATGGCGTGTGTTGGTCGCACGAAGGAATGTACCATCGTCCCTTCAAACCACTATGGACCCATTCCTGGGATTCCTGTTGGCACCATGTGGAAGTTCAGAGTCCAGGTATGAAGCTGAATCCTGGCCTCAGCCTCCAGGGGAAAAATGGGAATGATTCAGCTCTTAGGAGGAACATGAAATGGTTAATCTTGGAGTGTGTGCCACTGGGTATGTACGCACAGAAAGGAAAGAATTCTGGCTTTGTCTAGGTCAAGTGTTCCAGAACTAATGCTGCATTGTCTGGGCATTTCAAGTGTTGGGGTTTTTAAGTGCTTTTTTTAATAGCTCCAAAATTGCAGACCAGATGTGTTTGTATCCAGTAGTTTGTCTTGGAGATGTGTGGTATCTCCCACTTGTTCTCCTGGAAAGGGTCTCTCTTGGATCTCTAGATATACAGGTTTTCTCATCTTGTTAGGAAGCTGGGGAAGAAGCAGCACTGATGTATCCAGATCTCCTCCTCAGGCATTAGGTGAAGGGTGCTATTACAAGTCTTTCAAAACCAGTCCCCTTATACAAACATCTAATATCTATATAATTCTTAAATTCTTAGAGCTTTTCAATAAGCAATCTCAGCAAGCAAGATCCAAATTTCTAAATCCTCATCAAAAAAATATATCCATGTGTTCAAATCACTGAAATGTGCAGTGATTTGTTTTTTAAAAGCTTTATTTCTTTACCTGGAGCTTTTGGAAGGAGAGTGGTGAGAACACAGTTTGACCCTGTAACATATGCCAAACAGATCTGAAATAGTCCTATGAGTTTAGCTCCAAGCTGAGCAAGCAGTCAGGTGGTTTGTAGGCTGTGGACAGCAGCTGCCCAGCTAACTCTGCCTCTCTTTCTTCCCCAGGTGAGCGAATCTGGTGTCCACAGGCCCCACGTAGCAGGGATCCATGGCAGGAGTAATGATGGTGCTTATTCCTTGGTTCTGGCAGGTGGCTATGAAGATGATGTAGTAAGTGAATCTTGATTATTTATGCCTGAGAACCAAACCACTTGTTAAAACAAAGACTTTGGCATTTCCACACTTGATATTCACTTGCCTACTTTCTACATATTGATGAGACTTCTGTTCTTCAGTAGAAAACTAGGCAAAGGAGGAATGATAGTCAAGTAACGTGTGCTGTCCTGAGGAACAGGATCATTCAATTAAGTTTAGTATTGAGCTTTTAATCCAGGAGTCCTTAGCTGCCTTTTCAGGGTCTCCATCCCATCTGTGGTTTGAACAGTCTCACTGTGTGTGCTGCCAGATGTTTGTGTCAGGGGATGTTCAGGACAAAACTAGGGACAGAAGTCCAACTTCTGAATGTGCTTTGTGCTGTTAGGATGTGTGACAGGACACCAGCTGCCACCCTGACCCTTCTCCCCTGGCAATATCAGGGAGAACCGTGGACTAGCTGAGTCTGGGAGATGAAGCAGAGGAAGCACCCTTTGTGCTTTGAGGACACCCTCTTAAAGCTACTTGATTAACAGACTTTCTGCTTTTTATTGAGTTATTTTTGTGAATATGTCGAAACCATCCATGTACGTTTCAGGATCATGGAAATTCCTTCACATATACAGGGAGCGGAGGGCGTGACCTGTCTGGGAACAAGCGCACAGCGGAGCAGTCTTGTGATCAAAAACTCACCAACACCAACAGGTCAGCAGGGTCGTGCTCTGTTCTGACCTCAGTGCCTGCCATCTCTCAACCTGAAAAACTGTTTGTCCCCTGTGGATCAAAAGAAACTGGTTAAGTGAAAAAACACTTTAACACTGTTAACTTAGTGTTAAACCACTTTGTGCTTAAACAGTGAAGAACACTGTAAAGTTTAGGTTGTGTTGTAGGCTCTGTGCCTGTCACTGCTGGCTCAGCTGCACAATGGAAATGGTTCTTAGAGTGCACTGTAAATGAAACAGAATTGTGAATGGTATCAGTCTCACATTTAATGTTCACTGAAACTTAACAGAGTAGTAGTTTTCATGCTCTTTTCAGAAGACCTTTGCAGAGGGACACCACCCTGGGAGACCAAATCATTTGTAGTTCTGAACTGTTACTCTCCCAAATAAGTGTGGATGAGAGTGGAGAATCTGGTCCCTGCAATTGCATTAGGTTAATGTCATGAGTAACTGGTGTATTTAAAACGTGGTCCCTGCTCAGGAGGCCTCATTATCTCCCAGACAGATGCTTTATCCTCCCTCTGCTCCTAAGGAGTTCTGCCTGGCACACTGAGTTGATTGGGCTTTGTCTTGCAGGGCTCTGGCTCTGAACTGCAGTGCCCCCATCAACGACAAGAATGGAGCTGAAGCCAAGGACTGGAGAGCTGGGAAGCCCGTCCGAGTGGTGAGGAGTGTCAAAGGGGGCAAGCACAGCAAATATGCCCCTGTAGAGGGGAACAGATACGATGGGATATATAAGGTAATAAGGATTTGAATTTGCTTACCAAATTAGGGAAAGCTAA